CAGGAAGGCAGCTGAGTTTCCATCTCTGATATTTGGCCTTCCCTGTGGAATTGTATAATCAGTAAATTTGCAGATGACACCAAGTTAAGTGGGAGTGTCGATCTGCATGAAGATAGGGAGGCTCTACAGAGAAACTTGGATAGACTGGATCGGTGGGCCAACGTTAACAGGATGAGCTTCAACAAGGCCAAGTTCCAGGTCCTGTGCTTGGGCCACAACAACTCCCTGCAAGGCTACAGGCTTGGGGAGGTGTGGCTGGAGAGCTGTCTGCAAGAGAAGGATCTGGGGGCTCTAATTGACAAGCAGCTGAACATGAGCCAGCAGTGTGCCCGAGTGGCCAAGAAAGCCAACGGCATCCTGGCTTGTATTAGAAATAGTGTGACCAGCAGAAGTAGGGAGGTGACAGTCCCCCTGTACTCTGCACTGGTGAGGCCACACCTGGAGTATTGTGTCCAGTTTTGGGCACCTCAATACGAGAGAGATATTGAGGTGCTGGAGCGAGTGCAGAGGAGGGCAACGGAGCGGGTGAAGGGCCTGGAGAACAAATCCTATGAGGAGCGACTGAAGGAGCTGGGACTGTTTAGTTCGAGGAGAAAGCTGAGGGGAGACCTCATCACACTTGTGGAGGTTGGAACTCAGCCAGCAGCCAGGCACCTTGTGGCCCACCGTTCACCTCCCCCTCCCCCCTCTAGTGAAATAGGGGAGGGACAAAAAGAAGAGAATTTGTAGGTTGAATAAAAGGAAAGAATTTACTAAATATAACAAGAGAACAACAGTAACAATAGTGAGACCAAAAAGAAATGGTTAAAGTGCAGCAGTGGTTTATTAAGTGCTTTGAGATTGCTTCTGGTTGAAACCAGGACAACTCTCTACAACTACCTGAAAGGACATTGTAGGGAGGTTGGTGCTGGTTTCTTCTCACAGGCAATTACTGACAGGACAAGAGGGAATGGCTTTAAACTGCAAAGGGGAGGTTTAGACTGGACATTAGGAAAAAATTTTTCACAGAAATAGTCAGACAGTGGAATAGGCTGCCCAGGGAGGGGGTGGAGTCACCATCCCTGGATGTGTTTAAGGGTCGTTTAGGTGAGATGCTGGGGGATATGGTGTAGGGCAGAACTTTATGTAGATTAGGGCTGATGGTTGGACTCGATGATCCCAAGGGTCTTTTCCAACCTGAATGATTCTGTGAATTGATAAAAATTTGACTCAGTGCTGAGTGCAGTGGCAGTTTTGGTAACATAGGATCCACTCCCACTGGAGCTCAAGCTGATGCTACTGAACTCCTTATGGGTGTCTCCTAGTTCCTCCTTGCTGACATAAACTGAACAGAAACTGCGCAAACAGCTTAAAAATTCCACCTCCAGTCATTCTTCCCTCCTAGACAAACCCGTCTCTATGCATGACAAGGAGTTGATGGAAAGAAGCTCTAGTAGCTCTGGAAAACTTTTTTTTTTTTTTCCCATCCTAACACTCACTATTTTGCAGCAAGAGAGCGAAAGTTAGTTATTTCTAACAAGAACTCTATATTGACACTAACTGCCTGCTGAGTGCTGGTTCTTTTAATACTGCTTCTTGACAGTTCACTTCAGAGTCATTACTGAAGGGCAGTATTATTCCTCCAGTAAGTCCTCTTACTTTAGCTTCCTTGCCTGGGACAGTTCTGCAGGTGGATGGCAGACCAGGAACAGAACCAGTCTTCTGCGTCCCACTCCAGTGGTGGCTCCTTCCTGAAAACTGGAAATTACTTTAAGTATATTATTGTCCTTGGAAGTATGCAGTTTTGGCATCCATTACAGACATTAAAGTCTCCCTCTCTTGCCTCCTTTCTGTCAGGGAAGACAACTTTTCACTTCTTTTCCTCCTTGTAATGCACACTCTGAAGTGGGGAGGCAGGAGGTTCCTACTGTTTCTGTCTTCAAGTGGAGTGGATAAGGAAGCCTGATCCTGAAAAAGGTGCAAAAATTAGTTACTGAGAGACAGAAGAGTGCTCACGCAAGAAGGGCTCAAATAATTTCAATATGCACAGGAGGGCTTTCCCTCTTAAATATGAACATCTTTCCAAAATAGTAGGAAGGAGTACATAAGAAATCCAACCAGGCCAGAAAAAAGTGCAGTTTTCAAGAGAAAAGTTTATTGTGGTGGTTTTTCTGAGTTTGTCAGTATTTAAAATATCTTCAGATTTAGTCTGTTCAGGGATCAGTTTTCTAACAGGAAGAAGCAGAAATGAAGTCAGGGTATTTAGCTAGGCTCTGTCTTAACTGTGTTTGTATTCTAAGAAACTAATTTCTAACGAAGGAAGCTCCCAAATTGGGATTTCTTGGGGTAGCTAAAGCTGTGTGAAACTCACAAACAACCCACAGGTGCCCAGGCTGGAACGCTTCCCCAGGGGGATTAAAACCCACATGACTTGTTCTGCCTGTGCATATTGAAGAGGGAGGTTTAAGACTGTGTGTAAGTGTGAGTGTGGCTGCAGAGGGATTGCCACTGGCACCTTTGGTGCTGCAGGGAGGGAAGGCCAGGTCTGGGGAGGGCTGGCTGTCAGCCTCTTACCCCTCTGCTGTTGTGGCCACTGCTGCAAAACAGAAACTGAAAGAGATTGCTTTCTTTCGCAGAAACTAGTACTGCTGTTTTATCGAGGTAAACAGATGCTTTCTGGGCTTTGAAACAGCCACTTTATGTCTCCTTTATGTTCTCTAACCCCCCCAGCTGCCAGGGGTGTTCTTTAGAGATCATCTTATCTGACCATAATGCTGTTTGGATCAAGAAGTGCAGTGGATTGTTTAAAGTCTAGTGGGAAGATTGTGCTGCCAAGAAAGACTGCTCCTGCTTATAAGTTTAGCAGCAGCCATGGTGTTAACACAGTTAGAATCAAAATTGCTGCAGCTGCTGATTGCTGAAGTTGGGCCTCTCCCCAGATAACATTTGCTGTCAAGCTGATCTGGTCACTGAGGGTGTTCTCTCTGTCTTCCACCCACCCCCCAAAGCTTTCTTACAAATGCTTTCAGAATAAAATGTTTTGAGGAAGCGGATTGTTCAACGTTTTAGCTGACCATTTCCAGAGTTCTTGCAAAGGCTGTTTCGAAATACTGTGCAGGATTAACTCCTGTGGTTACTGGTGGTGACCAAGAGCTAGGGAGATGTTGGCCACAACCATGTGTGTTTCTGCCCAGCCCCTTGGCATTGTCCCATACATGCCAATTTTAGTATGTCTGGAGATTTCACGGGTTTGATTTTCATTAGATGGAAATAACAACTTTAGCTCAGTTAAGCGGTTTGAATACTAGCTAATGTATCATTCAGTCCGGTTCCTCATTCTAGATCTTAAATTTATGTCAAAATTTGATTTAATCATTTGCCTGCTGCAGTCTCTGAAGACTAGCCAGTGTGATTTTGACTTGAGGCACAATTCTGCAGATGATTTCCATCACACACACACACATGCCCACCCCCACCCCCCTTTTAACTTTGTGAACACCATGTATTCAGAAATAGTTTTGTATGTGCTCTTTCACTGGAGATTAAGTTTGCTGTACATCCAGGAATCCTTTAGGTATCTTTTAGTTTTCTTAGGTGGATATTAAGTGTCTGTATGTGGTTAACTAACAAGCACACAGTGAGGGTTTTCTCAGTTTCGTTTTGTGTTGCTGTGCAGCTGGCCTCTGTTAGAATTATTAAATTGGCCTCCTATAAAATGTTAACTGTGATACTGTAGATGAAGAGACACCAGTCTTGGCAGGGTTTGGATGATGCTGTTTGTGGATGTTTGTAGTGCCTGAACCAAGTATCCACCAGATGATTAAAGTATGTTGGTAAACTTTTTCTTTTCTGCTGTACTATGATAAGAGTTGGTTCGTTTATTTTATGTTTCACTTAAGATATTGAAATATTTTTCAAATGCAGCAGAGCACTTTCAGCTGTGCTTTACAGGTGTACAAAAAAATCAGAACATGGTAATTTGAAAGTTATGGGCTAAAGGCAGTGGGACTCCCTGCATTTAGACCTTGCTATAACCAACAGTGTTCTGGTGTTGACGGTAGTGATGTTTTAAAGATGCCCTGTATAAAATTGAACTGTATCCATTTCCAGTAGCAGCTACTAATTTGAGGTATTTCATTTGATACCTAAAGTGATCAGCCCTCATTCTGGACAGCAAATACTCAGTACTTCCTGAAAGGTGTGTTGATCTAGAATATTTTACACTGTGTTTTAAAAAACTCAAAATTTGTAAATGGAAATCTCTTTTAATATTCACTTTGTGACAGTTAATAAAGACATCATTAAAATTCTGACTCTTTTTGTGCAGGCCTGAACAGGTGGAGTGTTCAGGATCATATGTTTCTCTTCCAGTCCCACTGTGCCCTATATTATTTATAATCTTTTAACTGAGACAGACTTTTTGGAAGTATTTTGTTGTACAGATTTGGACAAGAACTGCGTGTTGGAAATGTTCATGATACGGACATCATGAAGCATAATTGTACACAGCAATAATTTGGTTTTGCTATTAACAAGATGTTATGTCTTGCACATGAAAGTTGGTAGGAACAAAAGCAGCGATGTAGTGTTTCATAGGTTTCTAGTTCTCTTGTGCTGAAATGCAGGGAAGGACACTTTTATATGATTTCATTTATCCAAGGGCTGTAGTGAGATTGGGTGGTCTCAGGTCATTGATGCTGGAAAGTGCAGACACACAATTGAAAAAAGCTACCTCCTATTTTGCACAAAAAGCCTGAGGCACATGTGGCAAAGCGTCTGTATCTCAAAATGCACAACAAAAATTGTAGCACAGTTGCATGGAATTAAGTAGAGTGTGAAATGTAATCAGTAAATGGCCAGTTTTCACCATAAAGACAAATCATGGGTTTTTCTTGTGCAGCTGTCTCTGTGGGGAAAAATGGAATAATAATTATCAGTCAGGTTCAAAAATAATATTTATACAGCAAGCTGGTAGGATAACTATTCAAATATTTAGCACTTGCTTGTTTTCATTACAGGAATTGCAAAGCTCAGGAAGAGGACGTTTTCTACTGGAACATGCTGCTCCCTTCTCTGCTTTTTTGACAGACAGCTTTGGGCGTCAGCACAACTACTTGCGAATTTCCTTGACTGAGAAATGCAACCTCAGATGTAAGTGTCTGCTTGCTTTCTCACACAAAGCTCTTACCATATTATGCAAAGGCCAAGAATTGAGTTACAGTTATTACTCTCTTGGGCCTGTGCTGTTTCTTGTCTTCACAAAATAATGGTAAAGGATAGATAGAAACAGATTCGGGGCTGACCTGCTGGTTCGGTGGGGAAGCAGGAGCAAACCTGGGGATCTGCCAGAGGTAGGTGGGAGTGACAGGTCTTCCATAAGACTTGGTGTAGTTTAGATGATTGTTCTTGTGGATGTTTGTATACCACACCCAAAGTGTGTGATAAGCATGAGAGTTCATACTTAGGTATTCACAGAATCACAGAATGGTTTGGGTTCAAAGGGACCTTAAAGATCATCTAGTTCCACCCCCCTTGCCATGGGCAGGGACACCTTCCACTAGACCAAGCTGCTCAAAGCTCCATCCAACCTGGCCTTGAAGACTTACAGGGAGGGGGCAGCCACAACCTCTCTGGGCAACCTGTTTCAGTGTCTCACCACCCTCACAGTAAAGATTTTCTTCCTTTAATCTAAATCTACCCTCTGTCAGTTTGAAACCATTACCCCTTGTCCTATAACTACACTCCCTGATAAAGAGTTCCGGCCCATCTTTCCTGTAGCCCCCTTTAGGTAGTGGAAGGCTGCTATAAGGTCTGCCTGGAGCCTTCTCTTCTCCAGGCTGAACAACCCCAATTCTCTCAGCCTGTCCTTAGAGAAGGAGGTGCTCCAGCCCTCTGATCATCCTTGTGGCCCTCCTCTGGACTCGCTGGGCCCTTTTTATGTTGGGGACCCCAGAGCTGAACATGGTATTCCAGGTGGGATATCACAAGAGTGAGATAGAGTGGGAGAGTCACCTCCCTCAACCTACTGGCCACACTTTTCTTGATGCAGCCCAGGATACAGTTGGCTTTCTGGGTTGCATATGTGTGTTGCTGGTTCATAGTTTTCCATCCACTGCTACTCCCAAGTCCTTCTCCGCAGGTCTGCTCACAAAACACTCATCATCCAGCCTGTATTTGTGCTTGGGATTGCCCCAACCCATGTTCAGGATCTTGCACTTGGCCTTGTTGAACTTCATGAGGTTCAGGTGGGCCCACCTCTCAAGTTTGTCAAGGTCCCTCTGGATGGCACATCCTTTCCCTCCAGTGTGTCAACACACAGCTTAGTGGCTTCATCAAACTTGCTGAGGGTGCACTCAATCCCACTTTCCATGTCTCCAACAAAGATGTTAAACAGCGCTGGTCCCAGCACCACCCCCTGAAGAACGCCACTCATTACTGCTCTCCACTTGGACATCAAGCCATTGACCACGACTCTTTGAGTGCGACCATCCAGCCAATTCTTTATTCACTGAATGGTCCATTCACCAAATCTGTGTCTTACCAATTTAGAGACAAGGATGTCCTGTGGGACAGTGTCAAATGCTTTGCACGGGACCAGGTAGATGATGTCAGTTGCTCTGCCCTTACCCACCAATGCTGTAACCCTGTTGCAAAAGGCCACCAAATTCATCAGGCATGATTTGTCCTTAAGTGAAGCCATGTTGGCTGTCACCAATCACCTCCTTATTTTCCATTACCCTAGCTTAGTTCTGGGAGGATCTGCTCCATGATCTTGCTGGGCCCAGAGGTGAGACTGAGCGGCCTGTAGTTCCCTGGGTCTTCCTTTTTTCTCTTTTTAGAAACAGGGGTTATGTTTCCCCTTTTCCAGTCAGCAGGAACTTCACTGGACTGCCACCACTTCTCAGATATGATGGGTAGTGGCTTAACCACTTAATCTGCCAGTTTCCTCAGGTCCCACAGATGCATCTCATCAGGTCCCATGGACTTGTGCACCTTCAGGTTCCTTAGATGGTCTTAGACCCAATCTTCTGCAGTGGGCAGTTCTTCATTCTCGCAGTCTTTGCCTTTGCCTTCTGCTACTTGGCTGTTGTGGCTGGAGCACTTGTCACTGAAGACTGAGGCAGGTAAGTTGTTGAGTCGCTCAGCCCTCTCCATATCCTGTGTAATCAGGTCTCCTGTTTCCATTTGGAGAGGTCCCACATTTTCCCTAGTCTTCTTTTGATCACTGACATACCTATAGAAGCTTTTCTTGTTGTCCTTGATGTCCCTGGCCAGATGTAATTCTATCAGGGCTTTGGCCTTCCCAACCTGATCCCTGGCTGCTTGGACAGTTTCTCTCTGTTCCTCCCAAGCTACCTGTCCTTGCTTCCACCCTCTGCAAGCCTCCTTTTTATGTTTGAGCTTACCCAGGAGCATCTTTGTTCATCCATGCAGGCCTTCTGGCGTTCTTACCTGACTACTACTTTGTCAGGATGCATCACTCCTGAGCTTGGAGGAGGTAATCCTTGAATATTAACCATCTTGCTTGGCCCCTCTTCCCTTCAGGGCTCTTCCCCATGGTACTCCACCAGGCAGATCCCTGAAGAGGCCAAAATCTGCTGTCTTGAAGTCTGGGGTAGTGAGCTTGCTGTGCACCCTCCTTGCTGCCCTAAGGATATTGAACTCCACCATTTCATGATCACTGCAGCCAAGGCTGCCCTTGAGCTTTGCATTCCCTACCAGCCCCTCCTTGTTGGTGAGAACAAGGTCCAGCATAGCATCTCTCCTCATTGACTATTCTATCACTTGGAGAAGGAAGTTATCAACGCATTCCAGGAATCTCCTGGATTGCTTATGCCCTGCTGTGTTGTCCCTCCCAGCAGATATCAGGGTGGTTAAAGTCCCCCGTGAGGACCAGGGGTTATGAACATGAGGCTGCTCCTACCTGTCTATAGAGGGCCTCATCTGCTTGGTGTACTTGGTCGGGTGGCCTGTAGCAGACCCCAACTATAATGTCACCTGTCCCTGCCCTCCCTTTAATCCTGACCCATAAGCTCTTGGTTGGCTCCTTGTCCATCCCCAGGTGGAGCTCTGTGTACTCCAGCTGGTCACTGACATAGAGGGTAACACCACTTCCTTGTGTCCCCTGCCTGTCCTTCCTAAAGAGCCTGTATCCTTCCATGCCAACACTCCAGTCATAAGAGCCATTCCACCAGGTCTCTGTGATGCCAGTAAGATTGTAGCCCTGCAGGCATGCATGCATCTCTAGCTCCTCTTGTTTATTGCCCATACTAAGTGCATTTGCATAGAGGCATTTAAGTTGGGCCCCCAGTGAAGCTGATTTACTGGCTGGAGCAGCTGGAATTCCTTTGTGCTGCACTTCAGGTGCTCTCCTGCTGACTGTGATCCCTCTCCAGGCTCTGAGCATCTATTTCTGGCACTGACATCAAACTGGTAAGAGTGGGATGGATTGAGGTCCCCCTCCACTGCCAACTTTAAAGTCCTCTTCATCATCTTGGCAAGGCTGTGACTGAAAATACTGCTGCTCTTCTCTGACAGATGGACCCCATCAGCCCTTGTTAGACCAGGTTTCTTAAAGCAAGTCTCATGGTCTAAATAGCTGAACCCCCTGGCTGTACCAGTACCATAACCAATTGTTGAGTTGCCAGATTTGACTGGCCCTTTCAAATCCCTTCCCTTTGACCAGGAGGATTAATGAAAAAACTACCTGTGCTTCAGAGTCCCTTACGACCGCTTCCAGGACTCTGTAATCCCCCTTGATACTCCTCAGACTGCTCCTGGCTGCATCACTGGTGCCCATGTGAAACAACAGTTACGTCTGCAAAGTTTGTGGCAATGGCCCAGCGCTTGCCCATTCAGTTTGGTGTCTGTCTGAATGCAGGTTAGATAGAAATAAGATCAGCTTTTCCTTCAAAGTGGATCCATTGTAATTTTGAGATTCATCAAATGAGTCTAGGGTTTTCTTCTGAAGGAAAACAGGAGACTATTAAGAGGTTGCTTTTAAGATTTGGTGTATGGTCTTACCTGTATTTCAGAGAAGTAGAGTCATTTGACATCCATTAAAGACAGCTGCACTTGGTGCATTGTGCCCATCAGTATTACATGAACTGCAACTGGTTATTTTTTCCGCATGTATTTCTGCATTCTTTATTTCAGGTCAGTACTGTATGCCAGAGGAAGGTGTTCCGCTGACCCCTAAATCAGAGCTACTTACTGCTAAGGAGATAATCACCCTAGCCAGACTGTTTGTGAAAGAAGGTGTAGAGAAGATACGACTGACAGGAGGAGAGCCACTTATCCGTCCCGATGTGGTGGATATTGTGGGTAAGTTGTTCCCAATAAATACAGTGTGTTTCAGAGTGACTTGCTATATATTGATCCAAGAACTACACTTCTAACTATTGGCTAATACAGTCCAGCAACGTGAAGAATAATTATATGTTAAATGATGGTGCTTTTTCCCAGCATCATGAAATGCAAGATAGTTCCTTTCAGAAAATTTCCAGTTCTGCTCTCCTGCTTTGTGGAAATGTCTCTTCATATTACAACATCTGAAATTAGCATTGTCTTAATATTCAATATCTACTAGAATAGCTTGCAGTAATGCAGCCTTGGGGCGAAAAATCAAAAATTGATGTGACCAGGTCCTTGCTGGGGAGGAACAGTTGATACATGCTTACAAAAACCCCAGGTTTTCCTTTGGATTTTGGAGGGGGGGGTGTTTTTGTGGGTTTGCTTTGTTTTCTTGATAACAGATGTCTGTTGCCTCTCTGTGTTTAATAATGAATGGTGGAAATGCATATGTTTTTGCAGTTACTGATGAAGATGATTACTTCAGTGGAAGATAAATTACTGGGTAGTTTTTAGACATCTCCTTTGATTAGTATTGTGTTGACTGACTGTGTCTGTTTTTTTCTTTTCTTGAGTCAGGTGTTTTTTTGCCCTGTCCAAAGTCTGGTATGTTATGGACATTACAGTAGCTTTGTGTAGTGGCAATGTTTTAGATTAAGGCTATGTGCGTGGGTGCACTGTGGTGTGGTGTAGGCAGCTGAACTTGTCTGTTTCTGTATATATACTCTTATAAGTACTGAAGATATGAAAGGGTTAATACAGTAGTTAAAGGTCTTGAAAGTAGAGTGCCTGCAGACACAGTGAGCTTTGGTGCAGAAAGCTAGTGGACTCTGCTCCTGCTCTCTTTTGTTCAGGATTGGAAGGTCTTTTCAAAAGGAATCATCAGAGCTGTGTAGTAGGTAGAACTGACCTGTTTATTGCTGGAAAAGGTATGGCTAGTGTGAAATGGTTTGTTTGGGTCTCCCTGACTGTTAGGAGTCCTGAAACCGCACTACATCTTTTTGGAACTCTGAAATAGCATTCTCTAGGCCGTTTTGCCCATGCATGATAGGTTATTTTTTATTTAGGATTTAGAGCACTATGTGCCTTTCAAGAAAGCATTCCCCACTTCTACTAAAAATAGGTATAATTATTTTTAGCTGGCTTTTGGCAGCTGAAAGGGAGGCAGATTTGTAAAACATTGTATTTTAAATAAATTTTAAATAAAGCTTTACAGTTCAGCATACAGTATGAAAATGAGTTGAAATCAAGTGTTGTCAGTTCGGTGCAGAACTTTCCTAGTGTATGCACCTTTTTGATTTATCAGCAGTAGCTGATGGCTTTTTATACTCAACACAGCTACTCTGATGTTGAGGGTGTAAGTTGAGTAGCCAGGTCACTGGAAAATTATCATTACATTGCTGCAGTTCTTAAGTATTGATATTGGAAGGATAGAAAGCTTTTCTGTTTTGTTTTACTGCAGGGATAAGAGTTCTCAGAGGTTTAGTTCTGTGGCTGAAAGAGATCTTTCTGAACCACCGGGCTTTTATTATTCTGCTTGTGTTCTTGTTCACAGCTGAACTTTGACAGATTTGTAGTAATCATTTTAATGGGTAACAACACAGTAGTGATCTTGGGGTAAAGGTAATAGATGTTAATATGATTGTCCTGTTGCATTACTTCATTCTGTCATGGCTGATTTTTTTATAAGACATATAGAAAAATTGACAAATTAAGTCTATAAACACTTTCTGTCTTCCCAGACTTTGGTGTTAGTCTATGGTGTACAAGTTTTGGATCAAGATGAAAGTCCCAAAACTAAATAGATAACATATAACAACTGTGGGAAAACTCACTGAAGGGAAAACAAGTCCAAAAATGTCTTCTGCAGAATTTGAGTTGGGCATCTTTACCGAAGACATTTTATCACAATGTACTGGTTTGGGCTGGGATAGAGTTAATCCGGATTTCTAGATGGTTTATAGAAGCTGGTTACAGTATCTCAGGTGCTGAACAGGGTTGAAATCTGTTAGTTTTGTTTTCAGCAAACCTTTCTCTTAACCATAAATGGTCTGTGAAATACCAATAGAGCTCAAAAATAGTAATGGTGGATTACTATTACTGTATTTTTCTAATACACAAGTTCAAACATTTTTCTTGTTTTAATGAACAAATGTGATTTGAAGCTACTGTAGGAGACATGCTATTCAGAGACCTGCTACAATTCTTTAGATTATTATTATTTCAAATCTTCTTTTAACGTATGCACATACATAAACTATGACTTGGCAACTAACACTTGCTGAAAGCTAAATTATGTCCCAGGGATTGCTGAAAACATATGTTTGAGACTTTTCTGAAGCAGCTGATAGTGGAATATAGAATCAGTCTCCTCTGGGATGCTCGAAGTTTAAATTAGCACTAGATGTAAACTGTGTGATAGCTGTGTATTATTAATAGCCTGAGAAGTACACATCTTCATTGACAATTGTCCGTGGGGTGGGGGACAGATGGTTGGATGATTTTATATGGCAACATACACATTTTGATGCAGGGTAGACATGTTAACTCATGTATTAGGAGATAAACATACCTCTTCTGGACTCAATCAGAAGAAGGGAATTGAGAAAATGATTGGAGGGAAATATGTAAGAAACTTCTCTATTTAAGAAGATGCTCTTGATCCTAAAGGAAAAAGTAAATGTAAAAGGATTTACTTGATGGCTTGAGCCTGACACATAACCTTTTGACTTCATGTTACCAAATTATAGAATCTGTTCTGTTTCCTTTTCTACTTGATAGTTTTATCATAAGTTGCCTTTGCTTGTGCTTATTGTTGTTAAAGCGGTGTCCAAAGGTCAGCAAACACATATTACAGGTACAAGGTGAGTTACAAAGTTATGAAATGTCTTTTAATCCCTCTTGAATCTAGAGGTCAATAAGTCAAGAAACTAAGCAGCTGCAAATGTTCTACTTCTTAGTTTTCACAAATAAGGCAAAGTGTACTAACTCATCCTTTTTAACTTGTTGGTATTAGTGTTAAGTCTCCATCTCTGATTTCTCACAGTTGGCTTCTATCCAATTTGTTATTACAGGCAGTTGCACATATTACTGTCTTTCTAGTACCTCATCTTGTATCTCATCCTGTCTGATGAGGAAGATGTGTTGGTAACAGCTGGTGCTGGCACTAACTGGCCTAATCAGCTGGTCCTACTTTTTTAAATGTTGCCATTTTAGGGTGCAGCATGGTTTTTGTTTTATTCAACACCTTTATGTATTTATGTTTCTAGCAACTAAGCCTGTATGGCAGTAAATCTTTTTTTCCTTTGTTGTTAGGAGGTTGAGCATTTTGTGTGTTCCAAGACTGTAAATAAAAGTAATGGTGTTCCTATGCTATCCTCTGGCTGCAGTGTGTATCTTATCACAAAGAAAAGGCTGCTAGTGGTAGCTAGTGTTAAATAATATTAGGCAAACTTGGACCAATAGCATTCATCCTCTAGGAAGAGGTTATTCCTGGTCAGTGAGGACTATTTTGAGAGGTGAATGCCAGAAAAATCTAGTTCTTAGTAAAGATTGCTTTTTTGTTACAACCTCAGGTTCCAGATGTCTTTCCAGGGCTCTTGAATCCTGTTGCAAAACGCAGCTGCTGTAAACTTCAGCATCTTTGGTGTGACCCAGCTTCTCCCATTCTAGAGTTTTGGGCCCATCTTAGGGTGAATATTTTGAGAATAGCTGGGAAATGAGATAAAGCAGAAGTAAAGCCCTTATCGACAGGAACAAATAGGGGTAAAATAGGGACGGAAGAAAAAGCTATGAAATATTTGTCCTGTCATTAAAACTGCCTCAACATTAAGGGTTCTTCAAATATTTCTCAACTAGTTAGGGTGGAGGCTATGAAAGAAGGGAGGAGGCAAAATAAGAGAAGAAAATTACTTTGCCATGGATCGCTTCTGCAAATAGTTTATGAGGGTTTTTTCCTATTTGTTATTATACAGATAACTGGAAGTTTGAAAGCTTGCCCTCTGGAGATCTGGTATGCTGAGGATTTTGCATTTGGCTTATGAGGCGACAGCTATTTTCTAAATCTTCATCTCATGATATTAACTGTTTCTTATGTGGTTTTATTTTGTTAATTATTTTTTAGCGTCTTGCGTAAGCCCTCTTCAATTGGCCAGGCTACAACTATGGGTAATGGAAATACTTCAGTTGTCAAGTGCAAGTGTTTTGTCCCTTGAATGTTGTTGCCTTGAATTCTCTATAATGCTCTAATGTGTTAACCTTTTTCTGTTTAGTTAGGAGTATATGTGGTATTTATTTCAGCAGTTTAAAGTCAGTACTGCTGACAGCTACTTCTGGATTTGAATTGGGTTTTGGTAAACAGTTTTGGTAGGACAAGTGTTGCTAGATAAATGCAGCTAGTTCGGGTGTCCGATCTGAAAGGGATGGCTTGCTGCATATAATTGCAGAACATAGAATTCAGTTTGCAAAGCTAGATTGAGGAAGGGAAGGTAAACAAAATCAGAGGCCTTCTTCCAACAATAAAGTAGCTATTTACTCTTAAAAAATGGAAAAAAAGCCAGTGTGCATTTTCAGTGTTCTTTGTAATCGATTCTGCTTGCAGTAAACTATTGTCTTTTATACCTTTTGAAATGCATTTGTGCTAAAATGGGTCTCTTAAACCAATACAGCTGGAAGAAGGCTGAAGCACTGAAGTATCCATGTTTTCCTCACAGCCTCAGTGATATTTTTTGTTTGTTTTATAAATCTTTTGGGGTTTCTGTGTAACTTACAGTTGAATTACTTCTTTTAAAGTGTTCTCTTTATTTTCCTAGGTCAACTGCACAAGCTAGAAGGGCTGAAAACCATTGCTGTCACAACCAATGGGATCAACTTAGCCAGATTGCTGCCCCGACTGAAGGAGGCAGGAGTGAATGCCATTAACATTAGCCTGGATACTTTGGTGCCAGCTAAATTTGAGTTCATTGTCCGGAGGAAAGGTACAGGCCTATCTTCTAAGGCAACTGTGTTAATACTTGCAGTAATGTTGTGAGTTGTTCGGTATGTCTTTCACACTCGGTTACTTTGGTAAAGGAGTGAATTATTACCCTTCTGAGGCTAGGAAAAGTAGTCTATACTAGTTTATTTGATAGTGACTTTTTCCTTCTTCCTACAACCATAATGCAGGTAGAGCCCCTTTAGTTGGAGCTGGCGGAATTGAAGATGTTCAGCTCGCCACAGTCAGTGGGACTGTGACTACAGTCAGTAGCTGCCAGTAACTGACAGTTCACTGGTTAGTCATGGATATCAAGAGAACTTTCCAGATCTTGTGTTGGTCTCATGTGCTGCTCTTCTTTAATACTGTTCAAAAACTAGATGTTCTTGCTATAGCAGCCAGGGACTAAGATGCCAGAAGGACTGAAATTCTTGTCACGAATAGCGACAGTTTCTGGAATTTGTATCTGGGGCATGCTAGCAGTGGTCTCACTTGTGACTAGTGACATTCCCTACCTCCACTATTACTTAATAGGAATAAACATAAACTGTGCCTGAGGTCATGTGAGGAGGGGTGCTAGCTTTGTAACTTCTCTCCGATTGAGCTAGTAATTCCAAACAGTTTCAAAAATGCTTAGACATACCCAGTATTACAGATTCTTGTTTAAATGAATCCTAAAACTTACCATGAAGTTCAGCTTCAGGGTTGGGCTTTCTCCCAGCCTAAAACTGATTTGATCTTGTATCATTTTATTTCTGTCCAGTGATGTAACTTTGGCAGCCTGTGAACTTCTAATTCAGCCAAAACCTCCAAGTAGCCACTAGATGGTGTAACAACATAAGATAAATATAGGACAAGGGATGTGAAAACCTGGGATGCTGTGAGAAGTAATTTCAACATTTGAATCACTTTGCTGTCAAATCGAAGTTCTGCTGCTAGGTGCAGAAAGGTGATCTTGTCTATGGTCTCTCTGAGAGCATTTCTTCAGGTTTCTACATCATGGTGCAGAAATCTGTTCCTATCATAAATCTGACTGGAGCATTATCCTTCCAGCGTAGGCTATTGCATTAATCTGGTTGTGTCATGGCACAGTTGGCTCCCAGAGAAGTATCTGGGAGTATCTAATGACAAGCAGGTGTTGACTATGCTCTTTCCTTCTGCTCTCTGCGTTTGACTATTACCTGGTCTGTGGCATTCACTGGAAACAAGCCCTTTGCTACTGAAGGGGCAAACCTGATCCTCCAGCTTCCTGCATTTTTATGGCCACAGCTCTTCGTATCTGATTGGAAGCTGTTAGGAATGTACTGCTTCTAAAGTAAACTAAAAGTTATTGGGGGATGAGGGTAACTTTTATTTATATAAATGTTCTCTTCACCTCTTTGTCCTTTAAAGAAAAAGAGGACTTTATCCACAAAGAGAGAAATTGCTTAGCTGAATAGCATAGAGAATGAATAGGGAAGTTTCTATGACTCAGTATTTTTGAGAAGAATAAAGTCTCCAAATCATATATAATTTTTTTTCAAGTGGAGATCAGATAAAAATAGTAATGCTGAGTTGTTTTTTTGTTTTGGTTTTATTTTTCTTTTATTAAGGGCTGAAATTATGTAAAAATACCTTTTTGTTTTTGAGGGTTTTTTATTTAATAGGAGATTTCCAAGTATGGAATGAGCAGAGAATAAAGTGCCTGCCCTACTGTGCTACCCTGTCTCCTGTGGCAGTTCCAGAGGCGACAAGATATAGCTCTATTAAGGTGAGAGGGATTCCTGGTCTCAGACTCCTACAGGCTGGTAACTTCTGTGGAAAGTAAAGGTGGCATCTGATTATGGAATTAACCAGGAACTTAAGAAACTTGGAATCAATTTTTCTGCTCCTCTGGAAAGTCATTCTAGGGTTTTAAGAAAAGGCTGGAATTTTGTCTTTGGTGCAGGTGACCTGCATTATACCTGCTTTTATTTCGAAATGGTTGTGACAGAGGGAATGACTGTGAGATGATTAGAGATTTTACTGATTTATGAAAGAACATTAGAAGACCATAATAATTCTACTTCTCCCCATCTACAACCTTCTAAGGGATGAACAAATGAAAAATACTTTCTTGCAGATAGCTAGTCTAACCTTTTTCACAACCTGTCCCTTTTTTTTTTTTGTTGTTCAGTACAAAGGAAATGAGATAATATTGTATTGTAATTGAATCATTAAACATAGGCTTAAGCCTTTCTTCTTGTAAGGATTAAGTGTTGGGAGGTGTTGTCCCACATAGGATTGTTCTGGAAGTTTCTCTGTGCTTTAAAGTTGGCTGAAGTTATGATTTCAGAATAAATCTAAAATTATGAAAATATTGAAATTTTTCATTGGGTGGAAGAGGAGAAGCGTTGTCATTTTGAAATGTCAGACAAAAACTTAGAGAACTTCTGAGCCTCGACAATACTTCGTTACACAATGACATCTACTATTCATTTCTGCTCTAATATTTTGAAATGTTTTGGTTTTATTCTTTTTGTTGCTTCATTACCACACAAGTACTTTGATCTAGAAGCCATATTTCACTAAGTATGTCAATACAAATGAACTCTTAACAGCTTTTCATATAGAAAAAACAAGACAACCATTAACATCAAAAAATGAAATGCAGTTACAGATTTATTTTTTTTCTGTAACAAATTTTTATTTTCAATAATCGCCCTGGCCCCAAAATAGTGGAAACAAGCTCATGGTTGTTCTTAATCAAAATAGCTTACTTTTTTTTTGTTTGCAGAGATTTTTGATAGCTGTTCTAAAGCACACTCTTGTGGTAGTGCTGCAGGAGGTTGAGGCAGAACTAGGAGGGCCACTGATTTAGATACACTCACTGCAATCTGTAGTCCTGTTCCATAACTATACAGTGAGCTGAGCCCAAGCATGTGAGGACTCAAACATGCAGAGTTTTTGGTCTGCTGCTTGCTAGTCATTGCTTCCTGACCTTTTTAGTTAAGTTCAGTTCCGCCTTTCTGCAATTCTGAAGTTGCACATAAGGTTTTCTGAGCTGTTGCAGAGCCTTTTGATTCAGTTTGTGGCTCTGGGATGTGATTAGAAGTGTATTGTTATCTCTGTTGCCACATTCATTCTGCAAACTTACTTAATTGGAATAAAATCTATAACCAGTGCTGCAAACTTCCTGGGCACATGCAAAACAAGTAGGTGGTGAAGGAGAAGCGTGACAAGTCATAACTTCAAACAGTTGCTTGCAAGAGTTATTTCACTGTCTTCTGCTTGCTCTTCACCTCTCTTTTTGCAGCCAGGACTAGCTTTAGGACCAGTTTATAAACCAGCATCTCCTGCTTTCCTGTGTCCATGCGTTACAGTGCCTTTTGCAGACAGAAAGCAGTCAAGGGAAAGTTTTATGTCTCCCCTTGTTTTTTGGGGTTTTTTTTCTGATCTTGAACGCATCCAATATTAAATACGCACAGAATATTACTGAGTTACTTATTTCTGGTAAAGTACCTACAGATTAATGAAGGTATGATCACTGCACTAGAGAATCTGAGTTTCCAGTAGATAAAGAGCTAGGAAAAGGAGGGTTGATGGACCTACACAGAAAAATGTATGACTAGGAACAGCACAGGGGTTGTCAGCACAAATTTTCTGGAGGATACTGTGCTTTTGCTAGCATGTGTAAAGTATTTGCTGTTAAAGACTACAGCTTTGGAAGAGGGAGCTCAGTCTCATACAGTGTTTTGTCTCTTGTACCTGAGTTTAGTGTGCAGAACAGGAAGGGAATTTAGTCTAGTACCTGAAAGGGTAGGAGAGACAGTCACAAACATGGTGCTAGCAGCTGAGCACAGCCGTTCACCACAAATGTCTACCGAGGGCTTGGTAGCTTACTGTCTCTTTCTTGCTCCTACCACCTTATTTCTCTGCCAGCTGGTGAGTGTGGCAGGGATGGAATAATATGTCAAATCTAAAATTGATATCTTGATGAAAGGTCTTAACTTTGTTTAAAGTTGATAGGAGGTGTGGTTTGAATGAGATGATTAAGGGGCTTTCCTAAAGGCCTTTGGAATTCCAAAATTGCATTGTTGCTTTATTTTTCTTCCAAATTTAGGAGGTGCATGTAGGGGTGAAGATACTTGCCCTAAATTAACTGTATCTCTGTGTCTGGGAGCAGCTGAGTATAGGCCACACTAAATAGTAGGGTGAGGTTGGGCACTTCATTCCTTGGAAATCACTGGAGTTTTTGACATCTTTTATTTGTTTTCAGGGGTCAAAGGCCTACTGAATTGTTTTCTTAAATACTGTAATCCCCACAGTGTTGTGCTCACCAAGTTCACATGTTTAGTCATAAAAATTATGATCCTGTAAAATGCTGCCTGTGATCTTCAAACTAATGGATAGTCAGTAGCTTTGGGAAGCCAGTTACATCTATAGCCAGGGATGAACAGGGAATCAAGGTGCTTTTGTCTGTTCCTAACCCTCTACATGCACTTCAAAAAGATCCTTTTAAAGTTCACTTAGCATTTTTGCCATCTGACTCAGAACAGTGAGATTCTGCCATTTTAGCAAAGATATGTGTGCCATTATTATCAAATAAACATGAATTTATTATTGTTTCTTCATTGCACCTAGATGCAGTTCCCAAGTGCTTTCAACGTCCTTTAAGAAGAACATAACACAAAGCAAAGCTGACATATGGGCAACTAGAGAATCATATGCTAATGACATGTGGATGTCCAAAGATGTAGAAAAGCATACCAGTACTTTTGACTACCCACATACCAGTTAAAATATTGGTCTCAGTGACCTGACCACAGTAACAGTGACAGCCTGTGAGGGGGGTGTGTGTAGAGTTGAAGTCTCTTTATTTGCAGCTCTTCTTACTTTCAGCTGTGTCTACTGAATCGGATCGGGTTTTATTTGTTATCTTTTTGTCTTGTACCTAATAACCTTTTGCATTCTGTTTTTAAACAAGGAATGTGATTTTTAATTTTTTTTTTTTATATCTTAGGCTTTCATAAGGTAATGGAAGGAATCCACAAAGCCACTGAACTTGGCTACCATCCTGTTAAGGTACAGCCAGTGTTTATTTACTCTGAAATTGTTGTGTTTTACCATAAATTGTGATAAAAGGTACAGTCCACCTGATGAGCAATTTGTTATTCCCCCCTGTGAATAATTTTTGGTAAAACTGAAAAACAATTTTAGTAGATTGAAGATCACATCATGAGGGAAATTCTCCTTGCACAGCTGAAGGTACAGGTTCATACTGCCACATAGCCTGTTCGTTGCCTAGATGCGGGCTACAGGGTGGTCCTGCTTGGTACTTGCCTCTTCCCCTCCTCTGTTGATTTGGTGTTTGTTTGATCCAGCTGTGAACTTGGGCAAGGGAGCTAACAGGCAGAAAACTACCCTGCAGAAAGACATTAATTTTCTCCTAGTTTATCTCTCATGAGTGCCAGTGTGGAAGGGAAAGGGAGTCCTCCTTTGGCAGTACAGATAGACCAACTTAACTGTAACATGAAACTTCACCCTAACTCAGCTGTTTGCAGCTGTGGTTCCCTTCAGTTTCACCAGTGTTTTGGAAGATCTATTATGTGTGAGTGGTTTAGGCTATAGAGCTATGAAAAACACTTGGAAGTTAAACTAGGTTATAGGCTTTCCTGCAAGATCTAAAGCTGCATGATGCTCGGACATCGACATCTGCCTTACTAACAGGTAGTGTTTTAGCAACTGCACAGCTATCTGTTGTTCTTAGATAAAGTACACGTGACCTCAGGCTCCAAGGTAAATATTGTTCATGAAGAATGTGTGGACAAACTCAGTTTTAACCTCTTTGTGGAGAAAGGAAGAGGTAATCATCCTGCAGCCTATGGTTATGGAGTGTGCTGTGAACACTTCCTGGTCTGGGGAATTTGCTTAGGATCTGCCATGAAGAGTGCTATAGAAGGTACCCTGCTATTATTTTACAGAAGGCATACAGCTAGGACTAGGGAGTGGAGCTGTCATTTTAGACAGTAAAAACTGTCATACCTTAGATGGGTAAGACGATGCCTTTATTACCTAGCTTTTATTAGTTTTCCATTTAGGAAGGCAACTTCATCAACTTTAGGTTGGATGTAAAACTTACAGGCAAGTTTGACAGAAATGATTGTCTATACTATTGCAATCCTGCCAATTCATTATCTTTTTATTTAAAAAAAAAAAAGTTCTTTCTACCTACCTTGCCTTCTGCAAGGACTATGAAATGTTGTGAAGAGGGGAGAAAGTCATACTCTGCTTACTAATTTCAGGTGTCTGCTCTTTCTGCAGGTAAACTGTGTGGTGATGCGAGGCTTCAATGAGGATGAACTGCTGGGCTTTGTGGATTTCACAAAGGATCTGCCCCTTGATGTGCGTTTCATAGAATACATGCCCTTTGATGGTAAGCAGTCCTGCTTTGAGATCCTTCATGGCATGGAGTGTGCCTTGGAGACAGGTGAATCTAGATGGTGGTTATTCACCTTGTGGGTTTGCCTCTGGAATTTTGGTGAGCTCTTTTGGGGAATCAGGAATTGCCTTAAGTTTTATGTTGTGTGTTTTGAAGCTTGTCTGTCTTTGTTGGATAAACTAGAGAAAGGACTGGTAGCAAGATTATTTGGGGCTGTGACACCTACAGGGAAAACTGAGATTTGTGGACATCTCTGCTAACTCAAAAACCACAGTCTAAAGTTACACTGGTTTTGTTAATTCTAGGCAATAAATGGAACTTCAAGAAGATGGTGAGCTACAAAGAAATGTTAGATACAATTAAACAACGATGGCCTGATTTGGAGAAATTGCCCTGTGAAACTTCCAGCACAGCCAAGGTGGGGTTTGGCAAAGAACATGTGAAATATGTCCCCAATCTTCCCCAGCCCTAAATCCCCAAATTCTCCCAAGTTCAGCATTTATATTTGACAAGCAAAGTAAAAAATACTCAGTGTAGTAACTGGTATTTTGGTCAAGCTGCCTGCATGTAGTTTGACACTTACTAAACATTGGTTGTAGTCTTTACCTTTAGAAATACAGTGTGTTTACTGGATGCCTTGGTCAGATATAAAGAATGGCAGGCTTGTATCCTATATTTACAGCTTTTGAAACTTTTGTTGGGTCATGGCTGCCTGAGTCAGAACATGTCTACTGACATCACCTGCCAGTTGATAACTACAAGAGCAAACATTAACAAATTTGTGAAATTTCAGAAACAGGGCAGAATAGTCTGGAACCCCTGACAAAGTTGATATTGCCTTTTTTTTCTTTTGTGTGACCTTAGGACTGAAGAAAATCTGTTAAAATATCTTCTGGTCTTTGGGCAAGTAGAGCTCTAAAAATGAGGAGTCTGACTTTTTTTTTTTTTTCTTCCTCTCCTCTCTGAATTTCTTTAGAGTTATAAGGTGCCACATTTCCAGGGACAGATCAGCTTTATCACGTCCATGTCGGAGCACTTCTGTGGATCCTGCAATCGGCTAAGGATAACAGCTGATGGGAACCTAAAGGTTGGTAGTGAGACAGGATTCCTTTTGCTTTCGTTCAGTGAAAGCAGTGTTGAAATTCTTCCCTTAAAAGTAGCTGGGATGTAAAGTAGGATGGAAAGACCCATAATTATTACCAGCTAACTCCTTTTTGTTTATGCTGTATGTATTCTTGTTCAAGCTTGTTGGGCTGTTAGGGAGATGTTACATCACCTTTTTTTTTTTTTTTGGTTTCTCTGTTTTGCTAGCAGAGTTAACTTCAGTCGTAAAACATGGTTGCAAGCCCAGTAAATATAAACATTTATTTTAATCTTTGATTCAAAATCATCTTAAACATGTGACAAGCAGATGATTTCCCATTAAAAAAGGATCCAAGCATCTGTAAGGGCTTTGCTTTTGTATTCCACAAGGATCCTGTCTTGTTCCACCAAACATCTTGCAACTCTTCCCCTTCAAGAGCAGCCTCTACATTTGCTCAACGGCTGTAGAAAGGGGAGGGATAACCATTTCCTGCCACGTTGAAACTGGCAGTTTCTGGGGGAAAAATTAAAGTTTTCAATTAAAAATTGGCACTTGTGCATTGTCACCTGATATTGACAACAGCTGTGCTGCTGTCTAATGTCAGATGACTGAGGCAGCCTGAAGGCCCAATGAGCTTAGGTTACATAAATGTCCCAGGCTGTGTGTGTACATGAAGAGAGATAAAGAAAACAGTTTCCATAAACATTCTCTTTCTTCAATAGGATAGGCCTTTTCAGAACTCTTATTCTGAGATTAGTACGAAATACTTGTAAGAGGCATTTATTTTATTCTTTCTCCTTTTTCTTTCATTTTCCTGGGTTGGCTGCAGGTGTGCCTTTTTGGGAATTCAGAAGTGTCCTTGAGAGATCACCTACGGTCGGGTGCCTCAGAGGAAGAGTTGGTTCAAATCATTGGAGAAGCAGTGGGCAGAAAAAAGAAACAGCATGCTGGTATGTTTGTTGTATCTGAGAAAAAACAGCAATGAATAGAGAAAACAATGTCGTGGTACTGCTGTGGGAGGCACTGACTTGCTAGAAGGAAAAGCATCTTGAATGAAGCTGAATTAAGGAAAGCATTTTTCCATCTGATAATAGTATTGTCTGGTAAAAAGCGGGTAACATACCAGCTCTGCAGTTCCTCCAAAATCTGGATGTCTGTTTTGAGTCTTCAAACCTTCCACAGTAACCATCTAGAAATCTTTCAGACTGACATTTATCTTTAGAGAGATGCAAATACCACTGCTCACCATAACAATGTGAGCAAAGCTAAGCAAAAATTGATGGAGTTGTACTGGATCTCTGTCGTCTTAAAATTAGTTTGCTGTAAAATAAGCACTAAAGCTAAAATTAAGCTGTCAGTCCAACTACTGCATTAAGATGTTTTCAGAAGCGACAGATCTCTTGTATGCAGAAATTCAGAGCCACTCATCTAGTGCTCTGCCTAAAGTCATAACACAAAGTCCATGATGACACAGTCACATCCTCAGGCTGTATTAGTCTTTCTGAATTTATGTTGATACAAACTATATTTCAGAGACATCTGAACCTAACCATATTTTTGTAACCCGACTGCAGCTGGGAACGGTGACCTCTTGTACATGAACTGGCTTTTATGATCATTGAATAGTCCCCTTTACACTAAAAATATGCTTTGGCCTTTTTGTTTTCTTGCACATTCTACCAGATTACTGACAGTTGCTTTTGCCTTCTCTTTTATGATGTAGAACAAATTTAAAGGAAGCTTTTAAATCTGAGCATAGATTAATTTGCAAAGTACATTGGTCTAACCCAGATAAAACAGTGCCTTGTAAACATATGGGAAGGGGTGGAGGGATTGGTTCCTTTTCTTTTAGACTACTCATTTCTGAATTTCTGATTTGGGAGAGTGTGGGTGCGGAGGGGTGGGAGGGTGAAGAAAAGTGTTTTCCCCTTAAGTAAAGGCATTTTGCCATCATCAGCATTTACCTGACATTGTCTGTCGTCTTCTGATTTGTGTTAATCCCAGTATTGTCCCTGGGGCCTTCTGTGATAGGATTTCTTTGAACTGAAACACTGTTAACAGATTATCTGTAGAAGTAATACATTTAAATGCTATTGTTAAGAAACAAGATAGTCCCAAATTGTTTGAATTCTGTAGTAGGTAGGCTGTAATTCAGATTATGGAAAGCCTTCTGGGAAAGGGTTCTACAGTGTGATAGACCTATAGCAGCTGGATGCTTGAAGTCTGTGTCAGCTGTGGTTTTAAATAATACCATGCTAGATTCCCCTGTCTCCAGCTTGCTCAGTCTTTATTGAGCCTTGGTTTTCCTAGCATGCAGGTTGCACTGTAAAGAGCAGAAAACGAAATCTATAAACCAGATGCATGACTTAAAACCTAAAAAGCTAGGATTTTTATGTGTTCCTTATTTTATTTCTAGGCATGTTTAACATTTCCCAGATGAAAAACCGGCCAATGATCCTGATTGGTGGGTGACAAATCAGTACGTAATAAACAAAATAATTTTGTTTGGTTTCTTTCTTTGCGGGAGCAGAGTGGATTGGGCTTTTAAGTCTAATTCATGTTTGGTTCCAGTTTAACCAACCTAAGTTTAGACAAAGAAGCGGGTTTCTTAAAAGGCAGCTGTGGTTAACATGCTGAAGTGGAAGAAGAGGAAAGGTTTAATGCCCCTACCAAGCCTTACCCAGTCCTCTGACAGCACTGGTTTTGTTTTCTCCAATTTTGAAAGTTCATTACATTTTCCAAAGGGATCACTAGCTTTCCTATCTTATTTCCTGTCTGCTTCCTTTGTACTTAATAAGAGTAGTGTAGTGTAGTAAGGGACAAGGGTGTTTGGGGGGCATTTTGTGAAATTGATCAAGTTGCCATATAAACATAAAGAATGCAGGATAGACTTTTATCCCTGGATTAAGAAATTCAACTTTGTTTATAATATATAGAGCCAGTAACCTGGCAGAAATGCAAGTTTTCTCACTTCACTACTTCTTTACTGAAGAATGTGAAACTTGGGGCTTCCTTCTTTCAAAATGTCCTCCTATTGCTGCAAAGTCTCAGAACATAACTGTAGTGTCTGATATCTGACCAGCCCTGTGGATCCAAGGAGCCTTTCTTCTTGTTCTGTCTGTTGAAGGTGTTTGCTTGAAGCTCTGTTCTTGAGCAGTGTGGTACTGCTGGGGTTCTCTTACTGATTTTTCACATCTCCTCCAGTGTGGTTTTTACCTCCTCCATGCCTATGTTTTCCTGTTTCGTAAGATAGCTATCTTCCAATTAATCTCACAATGCTAACTCTTGCAAGCATTTCTTAAGTCTAAGGGAGAAAAAAGCATTTTGGAAGTTCTTCAGTTGTTTCTTATCAA